CAGTGTCTTGGTTACAGGTTCGGCTCGGACGGGGACTGCCGCTGCGCGATCGATAAACGTAACGACCCAAATCATCCTGTGTAACCAGTGACGGTTTTTGCAATATGTTCGTGTCGCTGAAGGCACCACGACTCGGAGGGTTCCTGTCGATATGTTCTGCCTGAAAATCAACCAGTCATATTCAAGCACGGCGTATTCACAGTGTCACATTGATCTGATCTTCAGTGCAGCATTGCATCAGTTTCTACGCACGAGCATGCGAGGAAAGTTCATGCTGCAACAGAGGCCAAGTACCTAACTGGCAGACTCTGCAGATATTGCTATCTTCCTTGAGGACAGTGACGAAGGCCTTGGGTCGCTAATTGAAACGATGTGATCAACTGCTCAAAAATTTGTCGTTTTGGCGAGTCTCTTGAAGACGAAGATGATGGGGAACTTACGCAGAACAAACATGGACCTATGGTGTACCATGGAGAGAATATAATTAAAAACATTCAACTCTAAATACCTCAGCATCATCAAGTCCAAGCACACTAACTATGCTCACAATCTGAAAGAATGTCTCTTAAAGAGGACGAAGCCCTTGCATTCTCTCCTGTAGGTCCTAATTATATTACCCAACGCTGAGATGATGATGCATTCAAACTTTCTAGGGCACACATCTGATTCTACACTTCCAGCTGAACTGGTCAGAACTCCTGATGAAACTGTAAAACCTGAGGCGCGGCATTTTTCGAACCCCCTGAAACTTCCTCGCAAAATGGCCAGGATTTAAAGAGGAAGGTTGCGCTCGCTCCGATAACTTCAAGAGACCCTCTAGCCTAGAGGCTAAAAATAGAACAGCATTCTCATTCAAGATCTGACCTTATCGCGCAGCTTCAAGTGAAGTTTTCCTAAGAATTACGGAGGTTTTAACGAGTGCTGGTTAAGGCTCATTCTGAAGCTTCGATGGTACGGCTCTGTGAGGAACACTTTCATTGGAGGAGTTCAGAGACAAGTAGCTGATGTGATTTAACCATTTGCAGGAAAGCGTTGAAGCTTCGCTGGGTTGTCAACTGCTGACATATGGACCCCAACAAGGATTGAGAATAAACGGTGACTTGCATTTATTTTGATGTGTGCTCGTTTTGAAATTTGCTATTTTGACATTAGTAGATGCTTATTATGTCAACGGAGGAATTTCCTCATTGACAACAGAACCTTTTCTTCACTGTTCCTTTCGGTTCCGAAGAAAACAATAGCTGAGTCGATGAGCTTTCGCGCAGATGACTACGTAAACCTCAACATCAAAACGGGTTTGATCTTTCCATGAGTTAAGTCAACGCAAGAACATGGTTTTCCCTCATAAAGTACTATTGGATTTTCAGCATGCGTTGCCGTCCAATCAGTGTTCAGATCGTAGAGCAAAACTGATTTGACAACAGCATGGTAAAGGCAGAGTTTGGTTTTTCAAACTATATTTTCATGAGGATTTTGAGGCTGAATGATGAAAACATGGTCAATCTCCTGTTTAGGGCCGATAGCAGCTACTATCGTTCGGGATGATGGCCTGACATGATGATGACAATAACGGGCTGTGTACTAAGATGCTAAGAATACCTTGTACTGCGACTCCATGTTGTAAACGAGCAGCTTTTCGGCGTGGAGCGTATTTAACGTTCTCAGATCAGAAATCTTCATCAGCAGACTACTGTAGACGTTTGGCTCGTACGGATGACTTATCTGCAACACGCGAAACAACACCTGCTTCAGCCTGTCGTTGATCTTCTCGACCAGCT